AGAGAGAGAGAGAGAGAGAGAGAGAGTGGGCGCGCGCGCGCGCGTTGGGGGGGGAACATGGGGAACAAAAAGAATATCCATGCATTGCATTGCATTGCATTGCACTCGTAGAGACAAAACAGGGAAAAAAATGAACTGTCCAAATGCAAGCCTTGAAATCAGCATGAACTACAGATCACTTTTCAAAGAATCCTACACCCTCATACCAGAAATCATTGTCTAAATTTTTCAGCACTCCTTCATTCCTTCTTCTTGTGCTTGCTAGATTAGCTACATTTTACAGCATCCTTTCATTACTGCTTTAATTGCTATATATTAAACCAGGACACAATCCAGAAAATACTTACTTTCAGCATCTTTCCAGTCTAGGGAATCTTGAGGCAATTTTCTTAGGTAGTCCTTCAGAAGCATTTCATAGCGTGGAATGCGTTGTACTGGTTCTAGCATGTGATGTTGCAATGTCAAACTGCCACAGACTTTTTGCTTCTGTAGAATTGTAAACACATTAACATCCTTTCAGCAGGTGAGAATACTTTTCCATCCCATGATAAAACAAGGCTTTGGCAGGTCTAACACAGGAATATCATATTTTATAAAGGGCTACAAAGTAGATTTCATATACAAGCACTTGCAAAGGTATGAACTGGATTCAACTACTCTATTGACTCAAATAATTACAATTCTATTTGCTTTAAGAATAAATAAGTTGACACTTTAAGCATCAAGAACTAGTGTATCTTCTTTTTATCCAGCACAAAGATTTATATAAATAGAAGGATCACGGAACACAATATGTTTTTCCTTAGATTTTTTAATATCTGTAACTATTGTGCTCAAATATCTAATTAGCTTAACATGAGAATAACAGTCATTAGACCCTGCTACTCATGCAAAATAAAGTTCAATAGCAACCAGCTATAAAGTTAGTACATATTTTTGAGGCCTATTCTTGCTAGCACCACTGCTGAAAGAGACTTGGGGGTCAGGATTGACCACACGATGAACATGAGCCTGCAATGCGATGTCGCAGCTGGTAAGGCAAACAAAACCCTGGCTTGCATCTATAGATGCTTCTCAAGTAAATCTCAGGTTGTCATCCTCCTGCTGTACTCGGCCTTGGTGAGGCCGCAGCTGGAGTACTGCATCCAATTCTGGGCTCCACAATTCAAGAAGGATGTTGAGAAGCTTGAGAGAGTCCAGAGGAGAGCCACATGCATTATCAGAGGGCAAGAGAACAGGCCTTATGAAGAGAGGCTGAGAGCCATGGGACTCTTCAGTCTGGAAAAGTGCAGGCTCAGGGGTGACCTGGTGGCTGCCTATGAGTACACAAGGGGTGTTCATCAGGATCTGGGAGAATATCTGTTCACCAGAGCACCCCAAGGAAAAACAAGGACCAATGGTCCAATGAGGGAAGTGATGCTCCTCCTTTATGCGGCATTAGTCAGGTTGCAGTTGGAGTATCATGTCCAGTTTTGGGCGCCACACTTGAAGAGGGACACAGAGGATCTGGAGAGGGTTCAGAGGAGGGCCACTCGCATGATTAGCCGTCTCGGTGAAAGACCCTATGAGAAGAGGTTGAGAGATCTGGATCTCTTCAGCCTATACAAAAGACAGCTGAGGGGTGACCTTGTAGCTACCTATAAATTTATCAGGGGAGGTCAGCAGGGAATTGGGGATGTGCTGTTTACCAGAGCACCCCAGGATGTAACTAGGAATAATGGGTGCAAACTAATGGAGAGTAGATCTGTTTTAGACATTAGGAAGGAATTTTTTACAATAAGGGTGGCCAGAGTCTGGAATGGGATTCCAAGAGAGGTGGTGCTATCACATAATCTGGAGGTCTTCAAGAGGAGGCTTGACAATCACCTGCCTGGGGTCATCTGACCTCAGTCCTCTTTCCTGCCAGGGGCAGGGGGTTGGACACAATGACTCACTGGGTCCCTTCTGACTCTTAATCTATGGTCATAAACTCCTACAAGACCATTTTAGGCTGGACATAAGAAAAAATGTCTTTACTGTCCGAGCCCCCAAGACCTGGAATAGACTCCCTCCAGATGTGGTGCAGGCACCTATTCTGGACTCATTGAAGAAACACTTGGATGCTTATCTTGCTGGGGTCCTTTGACCCTAGCTGACTTCCTGCCCCTGGGGCAGGGGGCTGGACTTGATGATCTTCAAGGTCCCTTCCAGCCCTAACGGCTATGACATCTATGAAACTTTATAGATGGTTGGATCACACTTTTTATTGTGTGATTGCTACTCTGCACATGTAGATGGTCTCAAGGAAATCCATAGAATCATACAAAATTGGGGTTGGAAGGACCTCGGGAGGTCATTTAGTCCAACCCCCCTGCTGAAAGCACGACCATCCCCAACTAGATCATCCCAGCCAAAGCTTTGTCTAGCCAGGTTTTCAAAACCTCCAAGAATGGAGCTATCACCACCCCTCTGAGTAACTTGTTCCAATGTTTTAGTACCCTCCTAGTGAGAAAATTCTTCCTAATATCTCTAACCTAAACTTCCCTTGCTGCAACTTGAGAACATTGCTCCTTGTTCTGTTATCTGCCATCACTGAGAAAAGTCTAGCTGCATCCACTCTGGAACCCTGTTCAGGCAGTTGAGGGCTGCTATTAAATCCCCCGAGTCTTCTCTTCTCTAGACTAAATAAGCCCAGTTCCCTCAATCTTTCCTCATAAATCATGTTCCCCACCCCCTGAACCATTTTTGTCACCCTCCACTGGACTCCCTGCAATTTGTCCACATCCCTTCTGTAGCGGGGGGCCTAAAAACTGAATACAATACTCCAGATGTGGCCACACCAGTGCTGAATAGAGAGCAATTATCACTTCCCTTGACCTACTAGCAACACACCTACTAATGCAGCCCAGTATGCCCTTAGCCTTCTTGGCAACAAGGGCATGCTGTTGGCTCATATTCAGCTTATTGTCCACTGTAACCCCCAGGTCCTTTTCTGCAGAGCTGCTGACCAGATAGTCAGCCCCCAGCCTGTACTGGTGCATGTTCTGTCCTAAGTGCAGGACTTCACACTTGTCCTTGTTCAGCCTCATGAGATTCCTTTTGGTCCAATCCTGCAATTTGTGTAGGTCTCTCTGAATCCTAGCCCTACCCTCCAGCATATCTCCTACCCCCCCAGCTTGGGGGCAGGGGGGGGGGTGGGGGAGTAACTGCCTCCACTGAGTGGGAAGTTAACTTCTGCTAACTTCCTGAAAGTGCACTCTATGCCATCTTCCAGGTCATTGATGAGGATATTAAATGAAAACAGCCCCAGGATTGACCCCTGGGACAATTAACCAGTGAACTGCATGATACCTGTAACTTGTAGAAGGGACCATTATGACAGTACATACGAACAAGGCACAGTCATCTTAGAAATTGGACTGTAATAATACACACATGTATAAGAAATGCTCTTTCAGTACATAGTTATCTATGATTTAAAAACCAAAAGCAGCTATTTTAGAAACATTTCATATATTAGCACTAAAAGTAACACATAAAAATTGCTTGCTGAGGACCACTGTATTCTGCTAAAATTGTATTGCACTGTAGGATTTTTTTTTCAGCTCTGTAAACTAGATAGGTTACCTGTGCTACGTCTCAGCCAAAAAAAATTAAACCATCAATAGAGGGCAGTGGAGTGATGAAATTAGACCCTTAAAAAAAAATTCATTCCCATGGTTGTCTGCTTCACCTTTAGTTGCTTAACACTTGGGACTGAACATCTGCATCAAAACTGGACATTCTAGAAAACTGCACTCAGGCTAGCTAGGATGAAAGTTTGGGAATGTACAGGTTGGTTGGCTGTGAAGTACAATTAAAACATAAAAATTAAATAACACTTTTTTAGTTCAGATAGAGGCAAAGAAATCTATCTTCTTAGGCTTTTGCATTTATGAGTTGTTCTAAATAATGTTTCACTGAAGAGAAAAAACATGTGCAAAGGGTGGATATAAGGAAAACCCCTGACATTAAGTAGACAAAACAGAAGCCATGCCTTTTGCTAAAGGCCTTGAAAGAAAGTTTTAAAGAGGAAGTATAGTATCATATATTCAGAACATACATATATACTGTGCACACACACTACACACGTGCACACATGCTACTTGAGCTTTTCCATAATCCCCTGCGTTACCTGAATGTCCTGAATAATGGATTTAAATAGAGGTGACCGTTCAGTCCACGTTTTCACTAATTCCATTGCATTATCAAAGTTCTTCACATACTCTCCATACATCTTGAGGAAAGGAGCCAACTTTTGGAGAATATCTCCAATTCTCGGAGTTAAAATCCTACAGACAAGAATACAAATATAACCTTACATTACGTAGTCTGCCCAGTAGAAGAAAATTCCTGGTTTAAAACCTAAAAATAACAAGAGATCTGTACTACGTGGCACCAATTCTGAGATCCAAGTTACATATGGTGCCTATTTCAGCCATTCAAATCTGGCTATACACAGTGCCTGCACTGGCCACTCCACAGCACACTGCAGATCCCTGAGTGGACAGAATAAACAGCTCAGACATTGGAACCAACATGGGCATGGGAAGAAAACCATGGGCCCACTGGTCCAATTTGGCCCATGGGCTGGCTCCAGGTCACTCATCCAGCCCACAGGGACAGATGAGTTTTACACCCCTAATTTAGAGAGTTCACTATTTGCTAAACAAGAACTAGTGTGCAGACACATACATGCACACACACGCACACACACACACAGAGGTAAAATGAGAATTTATAAATATTCTTATTCCCCTATTTCCCTTTACTGAATAGCATTTCTCTGAGCTGCCATTTCAAGAGAGATATCACACTTCTCAACTGAAATAAAGACTCATGAAGTCAATTATTTCAGATCTGTTGGAAAGTTTTAGGTTATGTCAGGGTGAATCATAGGATCAATGAGTCAGAAGGGACCTAGCAGATCATCTAGTCTGACCCCCTGCCATGGGCAGGAAGGAGCACTGGGGGTGGCAGGGGTCATAAGACCCCAGCCAGGTGCCTATCCAGTCTCCTCTTGAAGATTTCCAGGGAAGGTGAGAGCACCACCTCTCTGGGAAGCCTATTCCAGGCTCTGGCCACCCTTACAGGGATACATGACCAGTTAGTTACGCAAATGGAAACACCAGTTTTGTACACCAATGGGTCTGGAGCAGATAGATCACGGGTTTTCAATGTTTTTTTTAATATGTGTACCCCTTCCGACTCAAGGTTTCAACTCCTGTACCCCCTTATATTTTTTCTTGTTTTTAAGGGTGGGCAGGGAGCAGATTGAGGATGCCCGCAATGAGGGAGGGAATGAAGCTGGGGCATGTGCTGAACATCCAGGGCAGGCCAGGGTGTGGGACAGAGCTGTGAGCAGCTCGTCTGGGGGTGTGGCTCCTGCTGCCGTGCACAACCTGGAAAGGCATGGGGGGCATGTGCCCCTGCATCTGCGCATGGACTGCCCCGGTGGTAAGGGAGGGAGTGGGGCTGGGACAGGGGCAGGAATTGCCCAGCCAGGGCAGGGCATGGGACTGAGTCACATGGGAGCATGGCAGGTGGCAGCTTCCACTGCTATTAGCACCCCTAGGAGGGCATGGGGGGCACATGCCCGGGATCTGCATGCAGGGTGGGATGGGCTGTGCTTGGGGCAGGCAGCGGTGGCACTGGGAGGGAGGGCTGGGGGGCTATGGTGAATTCTGGAGTGGCTGCAGCACCCCCTGTAGCCCCACTCCCATAGGACCCTGCAGTGACAGAGGGGGTGCGGCAGGCACTCCACAGCTGGGTGGAGCGCGGGATGGAGCCATGTGCAGCTCATGCAGGGGGTGTGGCTCCCACCGCTGCATGCACCCCAGGAGGATATGGGTGGGGCACGTACCCAAGGATCTCCGCACAGGGTGGGCTGGGGCTGAGGCAGCGCTGGGCTCTTCCCAGTGTGGGGCTGGATCGGGCTGCACTTGGGGCAGGCAGTGGCGGAGCTGGAAATGGGGCTACGGGACAGGCTACAGCCACTCCAGAATTCACAATAGCCCCCACAACCCCCCTCCCAGCGCCACCGCCAACCACCCAGAGTGCAGCACAGCCCAACCCCCCCCACTGGGAAGAGCCTGGCACAGCTCTGACACCAGCCCACAGCACCAGATCCTGGGGTGCGCACAGCAGCAGTGCTGGGAGGGGAGGCCAAACAGGGGGTGGGGCTCGCACATGGCCACCGCCACCACCAGCGCCCCTTTGGTCACCCACCATGCCATTTCACCTTCAGGCTGCCAACAGGCTTTGCACTCAGCCAACCGCATGCTGCCGGGGGTGGGCACAGATTGCACTTCCTCCCCCGCCATTCAGACCCTCGCGGCTCTGTGGGAAGGGGGTGGCCATGGTGCTTTCTCACTCTCAACTATCAGCTGAGGGTGGCAGCCCGGCAGCCAATCAGGAGAATGAGCTGGGGTGGGGAGGCACCACAATGTGCCGTGTGGGGCCAGCAGCACCCGGCACACACCTCCCCCTACCACGTGTAAGAGGCTAAGTGTGGGAACGTGTTGGAGGAGATGCTGCTGTACAGAGACGCATGCTTCATCTCCACCTGCCCGCGTGAACCCCCTACGACCTTTCTAAGTACCCCTACATGTACCCCTGAGACGGATAATTATTCTAGAGTAGCAGATCGCCAACTGCTGCTATAGCACTTTGCTGTGAGATGGCAGAGAGCAGGTAACAGCTTAAACAAAGAGCTAGGGTACCTTAGGTAGTGAGTTGACCTTGACTGGAGCTGTGACGCACCGCCTCTATGATGATGTAACCTGCACCAATTCATGGGTTTCACTGGGACCTCAAACTGCAAACTCTCCTGTTAACTAGCCTGTTTGCCTCAAACAGACGTATAACAAACAGGGTTCTGAGAGTAGGGACAGGCACGTGCAAGTCCACAGGAAGCACAGGAGGCTTACCCATGCAAGGAACTCCCAAACAATCCCTGGATGCACTACTGCTGCTGCCACAACATGCTCTGCCAAGGCAGCAGCATCAGGGTTTCTGTGCACTGGCTGCTGCTGCAAGAGCAATGCCATGGAGCTGCTCTTGCTGCCAAGGCCTGCACTCACTCCATGGGGAGGGGTTGATTCTGAAGTACCTCCTAAATTGGCACCCAGGTCTCTCACCCACCCCTAGTTACGCTATGGGATTTACATCCTTAAATTACAACATTGCATACATGAGCTAGATTCTGCCTTACAAGAGGCATTACAGTAACCTCTGAAAATATATTCATTTGCACCCATTCCTATATTCCAAGTGACAGATCCACCAGACAGCATGTAATCTTCTAAGGCTTATTTTATTCAGCAAAGGATTTCACAATGCAGGTAGGTTCATTGAAGCCAAGGGAACTACAACTCACATGCTGAACACTAGGCATAATTGCCAATTCAGATGCCAATGAACAGGAGGGTAGCGGGTGTTTTTCCACCACAGAACCTGCAGGGATTGGAACTTGTTGGTGAGAAAGTGACTTCTTCAGGGTAGTCCCTGAACAATGTTGATATCTGTAAGTAATAAAGAAGTTAGTGATCACTTTAAGCCACCACTTACCATTCTTGCATTCTTTTCTCAAGCTCTGGAAGCAAGAATTTGCTGTGGAAGGCATTGATTGATGAAATGTTAGAGAAGATTTTATTAACCACTTCAGCAGGAAATGAACCCCGGTTAGCTTCTGCCAAGAGTTTGGAATAAAACCCCTGCGAAAGGAGAAAATACCCAAAATTAACAGTATGACATGCATTCCTCTTCTCATTTAGTTCAGGGGATGACAACATTTTAAGGCAGTGAGTCAGACTGACTCAGTTCAGGTCAAAGGTGGGTTGGCAGATGGGAGGACAGGTGCTAGGACTCAGGCACCACAGCTACTTTTTTCCCCACCAGTGTCATGGGAAATGCGCCTGCCACTGCTCTTCTCCCTGTGCTCGCAGGAGAAAGCACCTGCCACCAGCATGGGGAAAGCACCTGCTACCACCACATTTCCCCACACCAGCACAGGGTAAGTGATGGCTATTGAAGCCCCCATCATGGAATACTCCTAAATCTTCATGTCCACGGGCTGGATCAAAAAGCTCCGTGGACCAGATCTGTCCTGCGGGCTGCAGGTTGCCAACCCCTCTTTTCATATACAGCACACTTTTCTCCTCCCCAAACCTCTCCCCCTTCCAAGCTTTCAGGATAGCTGCACCTCCTTCAGAGCCTCAGGCACCTTTGAAACTCCCCTTATCACCCTGTCCAGGAGCAAAAGAAGGAGAGGAGAATGGAGCAAGTCACTTCTAGAGCCCCTTAGCCACCAGTGATGTTGCTACTTTGCTTTTCTTCAGTTTGGACTCTAGGCTTTCAATCTGACAGAGGAAGAGCTTGTCTGACCTTTCCCTGCCCTTCATCCTATTAATTTCCTGCCTTCCCCACTTCATACTCTTACCTCACCACCTAAACACTTCTTTGCTGTCCAAAGAACAGTCTCACAAAACATTTAAAAAGTATGATGTTTTCTAGCCATACTGCTGACCACTTTGCCTGTATACTGCCTTCCTAAAATGCACTCTCTCTGGAGACCGTATTCACAGCTAGCATTTAGCAGAACACAGCTCCAGTGCTCATTAGATACTTTGGTACTACTGCAACCACTTGTGTCAGTACAACATATAAGAGATGCCATCTCCTAGAAGCACTCAGAAGTTCAGTAGTTGTGGTTTGAACAAAGGATTTGCAGCCAGGAACTCTGGATAATCCCACTTTAAATGTTAAACCACTTAATTTTTTTAAGCCATAAACTTTAAGACTTGCCTACATTGCTTTGGTTTTGTGCAGAGTATTAGTGAATGTTGGTAAATATTTATCAATGCTTATATAAAATATTCATATAATTTGGCATTTTTATACTTCAGTACATTTAGAATCAGAATACTCAGTCTTTCCTTTTTTCCTTTCCTCCCACAACACTGGTCACTTCAAGTGCTGTCAGCCAGCTAATTTGTCAGAATTTTGTTCCACTCTTTATTAGCCTGCAGAAATGCCCCTGAAAATTGGGGTAGTGAAAGTACTTCCATGTTGCCCAGAAGAGCCTAAAAGAAAATTAAACATTTTACCATAATGTTTTTACTTCTCTAAAACAAAAGCTCTAACTTGCAGAATGGGTTCCTTTCTAGACAGTGTATTGAGGTAGGACAACTATATAAATTGCCTCTTGTAAAACAGCACTGGAAGTCAAATGCAGTTTCAACAGCTAGCTGCTAGACTTTTCAATCGTGAACTCTTATCAACAAGCCCACATATTAACCCAGGAGAATGTAAAGATGCAGTGAAGATAAAGAACAGTGCCAGCTGACCCAGCGATGCACAACACAAGCATCTGTCTGGGTAAGAAGCTTAAAAGAGGCAATTTGAGAGCTGCAGATTATCTAAAATGTAAAGAAATGACAAATATAGTTTGAGGCTGTGAAAATACAAGGGCTCTTTTCTTCTGCCACAGCAAAATTAATTCCTATGTACTGGGAATTAGTTCTAACCTGTGCTGAAGAAAAGAGAACACAGATGGGGTATCTAATATCAGCAAAGTCAAAGTCAAACCACCTAAAACAGTGCAGTGGTTTACATTGTTTGTAATCTCAGTACAGTTCTTAGGGCACAGGGAATTACAAACACAGTCCACTATAAACAGACGCACTTGATGGCAGTTTCAGCACAGACCAAGACATAAATCAGCATAGAGGGAAGATTGCCCCTGGCCCTGCTGGTGGGGAAACCTGCATTGCTGTTGCTCACCTGGTTCTACCAGGTTTATGTCCGTAAGCGACTGATATCCTTGGCAAACAGTAGGGCTGCTTGCAGACATTAAAAAACACAAACAAACAAAAAACAGTGCTTTACTTTAAGCCTGATGGCTCCCGTGGCAAGCTTAGCGCATACCCAGAAAAGACATCACATTATTTGGACCTGGCTCGCCCAACGTCTCTATAGACTGGGCATTTTAGTGGGCTTTTTGGCACTTTTATCTATAGGTGATTGAATCAGCTATTAGATAAAAGCATCAAAAAGCCCCACTTAAGTACCTGATCTATACAGACGCTGCAGAGCCAGGCCAAACTAACACAGTGCTTCTTCCAGGAAAGCGTGGTTTTTGTTTTTTTAATATCTGTGAGCAGCCTAAATTACCCTCGCAAAAGAAAACCTAAAACTAAGTAGCAACTATAAACAATTACGTAGGTGAAAGGATTAGTAAAAGGCAAAAAAATACAATCCCTCCATAGATTTATTATACACATAGATATATGCACTGTAGTTCAAATGAACTAAGAAATATTTCTTTAAAGAAAACTTACCTGGTCTAAGAGATCAAGTCGGCTGACATAGGCTCTTTCTGTATGCAAAAGCTCACTGGCAATTTTGTGAAGTTTCTGCTCATCTGTTTCCTGAAAAAAAATAAAAATAAAAATAAAAAAGAAAGTCTCTTTCTTTGATGGTGCCAGGCCATTAATCATAAAAACGGTAAGATGAAAAGTAATTGTAAGATTATCTTATTTTCAGGAGGATAAATCTATTCCAGTTCCACGTTTTCTCTCTTTTTTTTTTTTTTTTTTTTTTTTTTTTTTTTTTTTTTTTTTTTTTTTTTTTTTTTTTTTTTTTTTTTTTTTTTTTTTTTTTGGTGTGCACACCCAAATTACACCAATGCAACACAAGACTCTTATTTTACCAGGAAGTAAAAAATTAGGAGCAGGATAAAATTAAAACGAGCAGTACAGAGCAACAAAGGTATACTGAGTACCAAAACACTCAAATTCCTGCCTAGTCATTTACCTACTATCCTGATAATGAAATAACTAACACGTCAAAGCTAGATTAAACTAATCTATATAATTTGCCAGATGGATTCATCTATTTTCTTTCTGTTTCTACAATTGGCTGAGCTGACTGTTCTTTAAATAAGTTAGTTTTTTATTCAAAATTACTGTACATAACATTTTATATTCAACCACTTACAGATTCTGAAGAACTGTTAGCTGCAGTTAGCGGATTTAAAATTAACCCTACCTATGCAGGAACTGGATTTTTTCACTTTGTAGGAAATTTAACCAATTTCCAAGTTTTCTGTTGAACAGAAGTCTAAAAAAATACAAGAGAAAGCCTTGAAGAATGCACTGCTTCTTTGGAAATTCTCACACATTTTCACTGTAGGCATCCTTTAAATGACACTCAGCTACAAAGATTTTCCTCAAAGGATGGTCTGGGGATCATTTTTGTGCAGCATTCATGAAGCTGTAGTATTATTACTATAATTTTAATAGTGCCATCTTATCCTTCCACTGTAAATGAACTTTAGTCCTGTGCTTTAGCACTAAAAGAAATTACACTGCTGCATCTAATGTAGCATCTAACAAAGAAAGCTGTTGCTTATAAAACCTTACGCTTTTCTGAACAAGCTAGCCATTAAGGTGACACCCCCCCCGCCTTCTTCAGTGCTGCATGACAAGCCTTCTCAGTATGCACAGACTTCAAATAGGACAGTCTTACCACATCAATACTGTTGCTCATAAAACAGAATTTTTACTACTAATGTATTGTCAGCAGCACAGCAGAGACCTAGAAGCAAACTCTTCATAAGCACATTTGATAATTTACAGATAATCTTGTATCTGGAGTTACAAGGAAAGAACCTGTAATTTGTTAGTTTCTTTGCAAAAAAAATTCTTTGGAAAAGCCAGTTTGGCCAAGCACTGTGGAAGAACTAATTCATGCATGTTTTCAGGGGACCATTTTAGCGCACGTGTTCATATATTACAGAATCTAATTAAGAGAAGACAAAAAAAAGCACTCAGTAAAAGGAATAGGTTTGTTAAAGGGGAGTATTACTGCAGCATTGCCTGGAGGGCCCAAACATTGTAAGCAAATATTTAGGGGTGACCTTCAAACTAGCTCAGCCCCTATGGGCCCACCCCTTTCTATCTATGTATTTTACCTTGCACATGCTGCACACTGTGCTTCATGTTCCTTGAGTGAAGCCCTTCTAGGAAACACTGCACAGACTACTTGTTTTTCCTTCTGTGTTTGGCTCCAGTTACTGGCAGGAGAGAGAGAAGCACTGTGCAGAAAGGCTGGAAGTCAGGAACAGGGAGCTGTAGGATTAGTGCTGTGCATCCGGTACTACATGGATGAGTTCCAAACACACCACAGGGAGGGGAAGCTAAAAGGAGGCTTGATCTCAGGTCAAAACTTCTGGGTTTAGCATGGACTGCAACTGTAAAGGAGGGTTCAAGCTTAGCAGTTTCCAGGGCAGATGGTTGGCAGGTATGAGCTTGAGGGCACCCTTGAAGTCAATCTTAACCAACAGTGCAGACCAATGGTTCTCACCCTTTTTAGACTTAAGGCACCCGTGGATAGGCTTGTGGATAGAATGCCAGCTCTCAGTTTTCACCCTTTTGACCACAGAGAAAAGAGGGGGTTTTTGTTATGAAAAATGAAAAAAAACACAGAACTGTGGATTTCTATTTGAAATCTCTGAGTTTATCTTGTGGATTGTGTTTGCAAATATAACTTTATGTGGCATTCCCGGGTACCCTTGAAAGGATCTCAAGGCACCCCAGGGTGATGTGCCATTCTGAGTGGGAATCACTGGTGTAGACACACCCTACGAGTCTTCTACACAAAGCATTTTGAAACATCTTCCCATTGCACCCAGCAGTACTCTGACAGTTTCTACTAGGTCTGTGAGAGTCAGCAACGATCCAATCCGGCTTTGGATCCAGCCGTTTTGGATGGTTGTGATCTGATCCAGAGTTCCAGACCGGGTTTCTGCTTCAATCTGGCCAAAGCAGCTCTGAAGCTTCGGAGCTGCCTTGGAGATCTGGCCATAGGGTATAATGGGGAATCAATGAAATATCTATAACCTTGTTGTTTTTTGTTCTATTTGGATGGAATTTGCAGGGATGGTAGCCTCTGATGAGAGCATGAAACCTGCCATGTTTCAAGAAGATCGGTGCTGGGGTTTGGGGGGGATCTGTACCCCAAATTCTTGAAAGTAAAACCCCTGTCATGTCTATGTGTTACAACACAGGGGGGTCAAAACTGCAGGGTTGGTGGCCACTGGTGAGGCCATGAAGCCTTCCAAGTTTCAAGAAGATCAGTGTAGAGGTTTGGGAGGAACTGCACCTCAAGCTGCAGACAAGCAAAACTCGTGACATGGGTGGCCCTGTGTGTGCTAAGGCGCAGCAGGATGAAAGCTGCAGGCCTGCTAGCCCCTGCTAGGCCACAAAGCCTGCCAGTTGTCAAGGAGATCGGTGCAGGGGGGTTCTGGGGCCCTGGACCCCTAGCTGCTGACAGGCAAAACTCGTGCCACGGGTGCTTATGCAACTGACTGTCTGCCTTGGGGCAGTTGATTATCTGTATTATTTCCTTTCCTTAGTCCTGGTTTTGTAGGTGTTAATTGATGGTAATTAACTGGCTACATTAGCTAGCAACTGTGTATTGAGCTGGTCCCTAAGTGAATCATAATTGATTGGTAACTGGTAAAACAGCAGATTAGCAGCCAGGCCTGCAGTAGTGTCTTTCACGCCCCAAGACAGAGACAGTCAGTCCCACAAGCACCCATGTCATGCATTTTGCCTGTCAGCAGCTATAGGTGCAGGGCCCCAGAAGCCAGAAGCCTGCACCCATCTCATCAACAGCTGGCAGCCTTCGTAGCTGCAGCAGGGGCTACCATCCCTGCAGCTTTCACCCTGCTGCGCCTTAACACACACCGTGTCACCCATGTCACGAGTTTTGCTTGTCCATAGCTCGAGGGGCAGTTCCCCCACAAACCCCTACACTGATCTTCTTGAAACTTGGCAGGCTTTGTGGCTTCAGC